TCCCCATGGAACCCTCCTCCATTCCTGCCGCCTCTCTCCGCTTATCGTTTAGCTCCCTGTGGCAGTGAGCGGGGACTGCCTAAATCTCCAAAGCTCTCTGAATCTTTTCTGAATCGATTCAGTCCTTTTTATTGGTCTCCTGATTCAATTAGGAGATTCAGCTGCTGAATCGGGCCAAATCTCTGAATCAAATTGGCACCTGAAGCTTCTCATGGCCATAATAACTGTTACATTTTTCTGTTTATGTATTGGTATAAATGGAGCTGAACAACTGCAACTTAAAATTTGTTTTCTCTCTAGCTCAAATGAAGGAGGCTTAAAGTTATAGCGGTTTATCTTCACTTATGCTGATATAAGAATGGACAGATATAAATTAAATCAGAACAGCTGATGAACAGTCCAAAGTGTCAGTTAATCTCTCCCATTTCAAGTGGTATTTGTCTATAGCCCTTTGTAATGTCATTAGATTCAAACGCTGGTTACTGCTGCATGTGATGGCCTAACTCCTCAACCAGTGTGCCAGAAAAGGGTATTTACCTTCTCAGTCCTCAGGGCATGTGAAACACTGGCAGCTCAGGTTGAGAGAGTCGCACTTAACACAAGCTGTAAAGACTATTCTGCTTTTTAAAGCATCCTGCGATAATGCATCTCAAGTTTCAGGTGTGCAGGTTATATTGTGAGGGAAGGAAAAAAGCAATAGACGCATCTGTGGATATAATGCTGCTGTTTTTGGTTTTGGCTGTATGCATCCAATTTCACAGATGTCCATGAGAAGCTATGAAATGTGTTGGGCAGTGAATGATACCTGCTCCTTCACGGAATTTCCCTCCAGCTGACTTAATTGCATTAAACCCGGAGAGTGGTACTTTTTAAACAGGGATAAAATATTTTATATGTTTACTTTTCTGGGGCATGCCAGCTGTATAAAAAGCTATGAACCCAGTGAACAAAGCTAGTGACAGTTTAGGTCGGTGCAGGACCTTTAGAAGCATAGAAATAAGGGGAAAACATCATTTAAAAAAAAATTAATTTTTATGCTGCCCACGACATCATTGACACTAGACTCAGATGCTCCCTAAAGCTTTTTGCTTCATCTCTAACGGTAATGTTACCCCATTTTCATCAAGCCTACACTGTTGCAAAACCTGGTATGTTGAGGCAGAATAATATTCTGTAACTTCACAAGTGCATAGGAAATGCGACAGTCCTGCTAATCTGTTGCTGTCTGTTGGATTGCAAGCTTTTTGGAGGGACTGTCTCTTTGGGGCATCCATAGGATCCTGGTCTATGATCAGGGGTCCTAAGCAATATAGTAATATTGTTTAACTAAAAGCAATATTGTGAGATTGCTGAGGTTTTGTGTATGGTACGAGTTTAGAGTAATAGACTTGTAAGGAGCTATTCCTCATTAATCAGTGCGCCCTGAGAGCACTTCAGGCTTTCTTAAATACCCTTTCTTAAGTGTAAAAACACACAAACAGATAGGTTTTGCGACTCTATCCAGTTCAGACCTAAAATAACTAGCGCCCCTTCCTTGCCGTCAGCAGGCACCACTTTCTTTTAGATGTAGATCAAATTTGAATAATTTCTAGATATTTGTGGTCTCAACACAAGCAGAAGGGATCACAAGAACGTGTCTTTCTAGTGTATTTTATATTCCTGGAAAGCCTTCTCCTACTTGGAAATTAGTTTTGCCTTTTGCAGAGGAGACAAAAATATTAAGTAGAGCTCTTTCGTTCCTCAAACGTCAAAATGGGTCTATTGTTGGAGCTGACAAAATAAAAAAAATAAATAAATGAAGCAAAAGAAAAGCGAGAGCAACCACAGGCAAAAAAAATACTTCCCCCTCTTGCTTTCCCATGGCAGGCTGTGGAATGAAAATTAGATTTGTTCACTAAAATGTTAGTGTTTACTTTGCCTAATAACCAACTCTGTGTGGAGTTTGCTTGATGGGAGCTCTCCTGTGGACAGAGGCATGGGTATGTCTTCAGTTTTTTAGCTGTAGTCCAGGGAATTTTAATTAAACTAGCAGTTGGCTCTTTCCCATGACAAGTTTCATATCCTTTTTCTAAACAGAAATGCAGTAATGCATATACTACCATTTTTGATAGACAGGTAGATTCCTCATGGTATTTTTAGAAAATCTCAGTTGATGTGAACTCCAGAGAAGCATGAATTAGTACACATGTGGAGCTATGGTAGTTATGGCATCATCTTTATAGTCCAGTTCACAAATCGGGTAGAGAGAAACTTTGAGGGGGGAGGGAATGACAGGAGTGACATATGAAAACATGGGTATGCCATTACTAATCAATAGTCATTCATATTACCAGTAATAGATTTACTGAGTTCAGGGACTTTGCAGAACTTGAGACTGCAAAGCAGATTGCATGCGTTTTGGGATTGGATGGGTTTGACATTATGCACTGATTTGCTTCTATGAACGATTTAAAAGAAATCAGTTATATGTATGCTGTAATAGTTAGGGTTGCACTGATAGAGATTTTTGGGGCCAATACTAATAGCCGATTTTTAAGGTGGCACTTCAGCTGATACTAATCCGATTTCTGATACCAGCCCGGCAGTTGGGAGAGCTGCATGCAGCTGGTAAGTCTGGTGTGGTGGAAGTGGAGAGGGGAGGGAAGGGGTGTGAGGGGTACAGATCAAGGCCCCTGTGGTGAGGGAGGAGTGGGGCGGGGGCTGGGGCAAGTGCTGCCCAGCCAGGGTGGGGTGGGCACAGGACAGAACCATGGCTTGGCCATGGGGCTGGAGGGGTGGCTCCTGCTGCTGTGTGCTGCTGGTCCAGCACTTGCCCACTGGTCCGTTGGCTGCCACTGCTGCTCCCACTGCTGCTCTTCTGGGAGGACATGGGCAGGAGCCGCTGCTCATCCGGGAGGACGTGGGGGGAGCCTGTGCCACCAGATCTGCATGGGGCAGGGTGGGAAGAGCCCTGTGCAGCCCTAGCCCACCCCACGTCACTTAGTGCTGATCCGGAGGCACATGCTGCTCTCCTGGACGAGCTGCGGGAGCAGTGGCAGGGGGC